GCCATCCCGAGGGATTGAAAATCCCAACGTCTCACTTTTCTCCGAGTGAAGCCTATTTTTCTACAACCCGCTTGCCATCCATGAGGCAGACACTTTCCTTTCCACCCGCCCCCTGCCCTCTGTCATCAGCTCTAAATGAAGTGCTCAGTGCGGGTGGCAGGCACCCGGGAACACTGACTTGATGTGAGGTTAGACTCTTGCTAACTGCTCATTGCACAGGTTTTAAGGCAGAAGATGCAGCCGCATTGCTGGCTTTAGACAGCACACACACATGCATGCACGCACACGCGTGCACACACATGCACACACACACCGTGGAAGGATGGAAGAGAGAGGAAGAGCACAAGCTAGCAAGGGTCCCCTCGCTCCTACTATTTTCTGTCTTCCATCACATACTGAAAATCAGCCACAATAGGATCTGCTTCGCTCCCAAGGCTAAAGCAGAGGAGATGATCCCGGACTCGCCTACCACAGAATGCAGCTGTGAGCCCTGGATGAGATCCTGAGCGGGAGCCGCAGACAAGACAAAGTGTTTTCAAATGCCGTTGTGATGAATTCGTGAAAATGGAGCCTGGGGGGCTGCCTGGTATCACTCGTGTGTCTGGGGGTGGGGTGGGGGGGCACCAGACAAAGGGCGCACACGCCCTTGCCGCAGCGAAGGTGGGGCTGAGGTTTGGGTGCGCACTGTGCATACTTGGGTTTGTGCTCAGGGGAATCAACCCGAGCAGCTACGGCTCTCCCCCTACTGGCCGCTGCCTTGAGGGTCATGGCAATGGTCTCTTACAATCGCTGGAGATCAGAAACCGCCCCCTCTCCCCCCGCCCCAGGCTGGGAACTCGCCTCTGGCATCCACAGTGGCCACTGGGACCTGTGACTTCTTAGGAGGAGCCGGTTCTTGGTTCTTGGTTTGTTGTACCCCCAGACGGGAGCTCTGGCTTCATCTATCGGTTCGCATGCAGTTTGGGAATTTGCTGCAGAAACTGGGCTGTTGAGGGTTGTCTTGGGGTGATGGTGGTGGGGAATCAAATAAAATGAAAGTCTCAGGCGTCACGTCATTTTGCTGTTGCTCCTTGAATGTATGAGCTGCAGGTCCTGCTGTATCATCACCATCACCATCATCATCGAGGCAGAGGGGCAAATTCTCTTCAGCACCAAGGCCATTCTCGTGCTAATCCTATGGTGCCCGTCTGATGCTTTTAAAATAAAGGAATAAATTAAGCAGTTAGTACTGCCCCCTGCCACCTCCCATGATTTGTCTCCGTGGCTTTTTCTTGGAGAGGGAATCATGGCCCTGAGCCGCCCGCCGCGTGCCCCAGCAGTCCCCTGTGGAACGTCAGACTGCCAGAGCCTTCGGCTGTGTGCTCCTCCTGACGGGGCGCACCACGTCCTCCCGTGCCGGCAGCAGGCTTGCCACCCCCTTGCTGTGCGCAGTGCAAAGCCAAGGCAGAATGGCTGCCTCTGTGGTCGGCGGTCGCGGCAGCGCCTGGCCCAGCATCCAGATGCCCGGTGCAAGCCGCAGCCCTTGCCCGTTCACTATTGGCCTTCATATTTCACGTTGCAGCCGAAGTGACTCTACAAAGCTCACCTCGTTTGTCTTCCCTGTGCCCCTCGGAGGCAGGGAGTCCCCCCCAGGCAGGGAATCCTCCCCCAGGCAGGGAATCCCCCCCCAGGTGGGTCCCCAGCTGGAAGGAGGGAGCCTGCTGAGAGGTGCCCATTTCCTCTCCTCCTGCAAAGTCAGCTGTTTGTGTCCCAGGGCTTCCCATCGCCATAATTCGAGCTGCTGAGGTTTGGCGTTCTCTGTGCCAGGACTGGGTCAGTGCCCATGCTGTTGAGCAGCCCCAGGTAGCAGGAGAGCAGGAAGACAGGATCTGGACAGGGGTCACAGGGAGGGCTTCCTGGATGGGGTGTGGCTGGAATCAGAAAGGATGAGGAGGAGTCAGCCAGGGGAGGAAGAAGAGGAAGGAGGCAGTTGTAGGGAGCTCGGGAGGAGAGAAGCAAGGCTGTCTTAGTCAGAGGCCACATATCACAGTCAGCTTTCACGTGTTGTGCTGAGGACCTTGGACTTGGCCCTCAAGGTGATGGGGATCTAGTTTCAAGATCTAGGTGGTGGGCCTGGTGGTTTAACATCGGCTAAAACTCCCACATCCCACCTTGGAGTGCATGGAGCTCTGGCTCCTGACCCCAGCTTCCAGACAATGCAGACCCGAGGAGGCAGCGGGAATGAATGACCCAGGAATCGGGGCCCTGCCTCACCTGGAGACTTGGCTCGAGTTCCCAGCTCCTGGCTTCAGCCTGGCGCAGCACTGGGGGGTGACCCAGCGGGAGCTCTCCCTCTCCGCCTTCCCATCCTTGCTCTCTGGCTCACAAATGATCATTTTCTCATTTAAATTAAAACAATTTAAATGGCAAGGCTCTGACTTGCTCCTTCATTGCTTCCTCTCCATCTCTTCCCTTCCAAGGGTAAAAAAAACCCCAACCCAACCCCTCTACCCTCCACTGTAGTACTATGTATACTATGTAAAGGCCTAACATTCTGCAGTCTTTTCTGGTATGTGAATGAATGAATGATTTCTCTCTTCATGCCCTTCAGAGGCAGGGACACAAAGGCCCTTGAAGCAGGATGAAAAAGGGGCCTCCACATCCTGGGGAGCCCTGTCCTCAACACGGGGGTTCCCAGAGCAGGGCGGGGGTGCAGACTGAGGCGCTTCGCAGATGAGGGCCGTGGGTCTTCCAGCCGCAAGGTAGAAAGGTTTCAGCTGAAACTGGCATGAAATAGTCAGGAAGCTGAGCTTGAGGAGGCTGGGAGAAGGACAGAGCCGGAGTCCGGCTGCTGGAGGAGCACCCCGGGCTCCCCGGCGTGTGGTCGAGCCCTGCCCCTCTCAGGGTGCTTCTGTTCGTATGTGAGGCACTTACCACACTAATGGAGCAAGGAGGAAAAACTCCCACCGGGGTCTCCTGGGTATTTTGAGAATTGGACTGATCATGCGGACCTGCCTAGAACACACCCACAGATGTTGGCCTTGTGTTGTGGCTTTCCCTTGGGCACTGGACCCACAAACAGGTGGGGGCAAAGGACAATCACTTTTGTGTGTTAGTAAGACTGGAAATAAATGGGTGAATGCAGATTTCTTTTTTAAAAAAAGAGTTATCTGTTTATTTGAAAGAGTTACGGGTGAGGGGGAAGAGAAACAGAGTGATCTTCCATCTGCTGGTTCACTTCCCAGAGGCTGGGCCAGGCTGAAGCCAGGAGCCAGGAGCTTCTTCTGGGCCTCTCACGTGGGTGCTGGGGCCCAAGCACTTGGGCCATCTTCCACTGCTTTCCCAGGCACATTAGCAGGGAGCTGGATCAGACAGAAGTAGAGCAGCTGGGACTCGAACCAGAGCCTGTATGGTATGCTAGCATCACAGGTGGCAGTTTAACTCGCTACACCACAACTCTGGCCCCAACAATGATTTCTAAACACCTTCCAGCCCTGCTGTGCCAAAGTCAATTCCTCGCAATTTCTGGGCATTCATTGTTCGATTCAGTGAGTCCGAGCTGTCCTTGCCAGCGTCCCTCATGTGGGTTTCTATCCGTCCAGTGCCTTTGTCCCACAGATGGTGCGAATAAAGGCAGAAGAGGTGGCTTCTAGCTGAAAGGTTATGGGTGGCCGAGGAGGGAGAGAGCCCCAGAAATTGTGACATGCAAACGAAAATTGTCCCAGCAAGCTACGGCTGTGCGGTCAAAGAGCCAGACTTGTCATTCCCTGGAGAGCAGCCCACTGTTCTCAGGTGCCGGCGGGGGGGGGACCTCTGTCGTCTTCGGTTGTTTCACGAATGATACAGGTTGGCCTCGTGTCTGAACAGAGGAGCCCCGGACCCCAGCAGACTTTCCCAGGACCGCTTCCCACCTGGCTCTCCTAAGCTGCCCCCCATCAGATCCCACCTACACAGCTTCAGCCATAGTTCCAGGCTTTCTTTAAAAATGTATTATTGATTTGAGAGGCAGAGAGACAGACGGAGAGAGCTCCTATCCTCTGGTTCACTCCGCAAAAGCCGGCTGGGCACAGGCTGAAGGCAGGAGCCAGGAATGCAACCCTGGTCTCTCACACGAGTGCCAGGAACCCACTGACTTGAGCCGTCACCCCTGCCTTCCTGCATGTGCACTGGCAGGAAGCCGGAGTCAGGAGACAGAGCTGGGACTCAGCTCAGGCACTCTGATATGGGACACGGTTGTCATAACCGTTAGGCTAAATGCTCACTCTCTGGTTTAAGGCTTTGATGATGAAGTTGTAGGATGCAGATATCCACCCACAGGGCCTAGAGGGCGCGGGTTTAAAAGATGGAGATGCCAGGGCCGGCAGTGGGGCACAGCAGGTTAACTACCGCCTGCAGTGCCGGCATCCCATATAGGCACCTGCTTGAATCCTGGCTGCTCCACTTCTGATCCAGCTCCCTGCTAATGTGCCTGGGAAAGTGCCTGGGCCCCTGCCACCCATGAGGGATACCTGGCTGCAGTTCCTGACTCCTGGATTCTGCCTGGCCCAGTCCAGGCTGGTGCAACCATTTAGGGAGTGAACCAGCGGATGAAGATCTCATTCTGTATCTCTCCCCTTCTCTCTGTAACTCGGCCTTTCAAATAAATAAATAAAACTTAAAAAAAAAAAACCAAGGATATCCCACTCTGAATGACCTTAGGGACAAGCTAATTGACCCCACATTTAGTATAAGGGAAACTGAGGCCCAGGGGCCTTGCCCTGGTCAGGTTGCCTGGGCCTGAACCATAGGTTGCCTGATGCCCGGATGGAAGGGTGCCTTCCGGGTCCACATCTCTTTGCAACAGGAAAACACAAATGGCCTGGACAAATGGAGAAAATGTTCAAAACGGCCTCTCTGACTCTGGGTAAACAGTAACCACATATTTTTTTTGCCTGTTGGAGGCCTGGTTTTTAATCACTCCACAAGCAGTTTTCATTTCTGTAGTAAAATTGCTTGTGGTTCTATTTAATTTGTTTCTGCAGGAGCCGGCTCTGGCGAAGATCTCCAAGGAGCTGGCGGGCATTTTAGCACAGCACGCACAGCCAGTCAACGCGAGACGCTTCCCGACGTGGAGGAAATTCCTGCAGACGTTTCTCAGCCAAGGTAAATAAGACTGGAGCGTCTCTGCCGGGGACGGGGCTCCGCAACCTCGCGTTCCAGTTTCGGGGTTTTGGGTCGGACCCGGGGCGCCTCCTGCTTTGGTTTAGACAGAGAGCGCCTGCAGCCGACCTGGCTTCTCTTCAGAAGCATTGCCTACATGTTTATCTTGCACCCAGCCTCTTAAGTAAATAGGAGGAGAGCACAGCCCATTTGGCTCCTGGACTGCTCAGGATTCCCGGCCCTGCCTGCAACAGCGGCTTCCCCAGAGGGGTGAGCTCTGGGATCAGGGGGCCGGGGTCTGCACTTCCACCACGGCCTCGAGCAAGGGCCCTGGGGCTCTCGGAGACCCCGTTTCCTCTGGCCTACCCCCAGGGGGCCACTGTTTGCTGCAGCAGCTGACTCTTCTTAGGATACCCGCAACCTGTATTATCTGAGTACCTGGCTCAAGTCCCAGCTCCAGCTTCCTGCTAATGAGCGCCCTGGGAGGCAGCAGGTGACGGCTCTAGTACTTGGGTCCCTGCCACCCACATGGGAGACCTGGACTGAACGCCCAGCTCCTGGCTTCAGCCTGGCCCACTTTCAGCCATTGTGGATATTCTTTGAGGAGTGAACCAATGTGTGGAAGATTCCCCCTCTCTCTCTCTCTCTGTCTTCAGCCTCTCCCCCATCCCTCAAATTCAAAAAAGAAAGCAAAGAAAAAACTATGCAAAGGTTTTATATGGGCACAAAAATAAGCTTTTAATCTTTTCTTCCATTTTCCACACACTCTTTTGAAGACCGCTCACGCGCACACAGAAGCCTCCACACTGTCAGTTCCGAAGGTGGAATTTCCGGAGCAGGGTTCTCACCGCCGCCTTCCGATGCTGGCATCCTGCTCCTCCTCCCTCACCTTCATCTTCTCACGACCTCGGGATGGAGTGACTGGAGTGTGAGAGCCTCCTCCCCAGGCACAGAGCTCCCTGTGGGGTGCTGTACAGGGGCCCAGGCCAGTGCCCTCGCTCTCTGGGGGACTGCAGGGTTAGGCGGGTGTCCTTATGGGCCACCCAGGTGAACGAGGAGAGGGGCCAGTGTTACAGGCCACAGAAGGCCCCTTCCCACCCCATTCGCTGCAGGGATGAGAACAGTCCGGTGAACAGACGTCACGTGATCACAAGAGCAGCCGCGGCGTGGTGGCGGCACGGACAGTGCTTACTCTGGGCCAGGCATGGCTCTCGGGATGTGTGCGTGAATGCGTTTCTTCTGCTCCCACAGTCCCGGGAGATGGGTGCCATCATCGCCCATGTGTTACAGAGGAGGAAACTGAGGCACAGCCTTCTGCCCATGCACCGATAAGCCCACAGAAGGCCACAGGTGTCTTGAATTGTGTTGTGGTGGCTGCTGGAGCGCACAGGCCAGGCAGGTGCACAGGCCACGCCCATAAGGAAGCAGTTAAGCAACAGGTGGATGTCAGTCGCCTAACAAGAAGGCTGACAAGGGAGCCATACAGTGTCACTGCCAATGCCCCCGCAGCTCTAACTCTGTGTGAGTCTACACGTCCCCACAGACAGTAAAGTCAAAGCCCGAGAGTCAGCCCTGGGGCAGGCGCTGTGGCTCGGTGGGTCGAGGCCCTGCTTGTGCTGTTACTCTGATCCAGCTCCCTGCTAAGGCATCTGGGAGGCAGTAGAAGATGGCCCAAGTACGGGCCCCTGCCACCCACACGGGAGACCCAGACGGAGCTCCAGGCTCCTGGTATCGGCATTTGAAGTGGGAACCAGAGGATAGAAGATCTTTTTCTGGCTGTTCCTCCCTCACTAGGTTGTTATTTGGTTTGGTTTGGTGGATTTTGTTGTTGTTTTATTGCGTTTGCCTTGCTAAATCCCAACGCCTGGTATTCAGGCACGGTAGGCACCAGGAGCCCTCATCTGAAGAGAAGCACATCTCCCTCCGACCAAACAGGTGGATCAGGCACTGCCTGAGTACTCCCCCCAGTCAAGTTTCCTCCTGAAACTCAGCGTTCACTAGGGCCGCCTCTGGCCGAACTCGCGGACTCTGAAGGAAAGCGCCTTTTGTTTGAAGCAACAGGTGGCTGCACTCCAGAATGGCTACTATCTCAGAACTTAGCTGAGTACCTCATTCCAAGCCTGTGGCCCACCCACGGGCAGAGGCCATGCACCTGCTGCCCACCCCCCACCAGCAAATGTGTGGGACAGACACCAAGTCCCCCCCCCCCGCTTTTTTAAATTTTATTTGACGGGTAGAGTTATAGACAGAGAGAGAGAGACAGAGAGAAAGGTCTTCCTTCCGCTGGTTCACTCCCCAAATGGCTGCTATGGCCAGCGCTGCGCTGATTCAAAGCCAGGAGCCAGGTGCCTCCTCCTGGTCTCCCATGCGGGTGCAGGGCCCAAGCACTTGGGCCATCCTCCACTGCACTCCCGGGCCACAGCAGAGAGCTGGACAGGAAGAAGAGCAACCGGGACTAGAAGGGGCGCCCATATGGGATGCCGGCGCCGCAGGTGGAGGATTAACCAAGTGAGCCATGGCGCCGGCCCCCCAAGTTCCTCTTGATGTCAAGCTCTAAAGGTCACTCTGTCTGGGGCACACATAGTTGTTTTGACTTTGAAGTTGCCCAACTCTTTACAAGTAATAGTTTCTAGTGCTTTTCTGACAAAAGGGCTACGTACCGCAAGATTTACAAGTGAGGCCTCACAGCAGAACATCGGGGCTTGTAATTTCTGTGGATACCACCACGTTAGCCCCAAACCAGCCAGGAAAGTCGGGCTGCTGTCGCTGAGCATCCGACTGGCCTTGGTGATTTGGGTCTTTGGAAGATGATAGACGACAAAGCTGTCTTGGTCAGCACACTTGTTTCTCATAAACGGTAGCACCTCCTGGCTCTCTGGTTTTCATTTTTTTTTTAATTTCAAATTTATATAAATAAAACATTTATTTTGTATATACATTATTTAAAAATATGTTTATTTATTTGAAAGAGTTACAGAGAGACAGAGAAAGAGAAACAGAGAGACAGAGAGGTCTTCCATGTGCTGGTTCACTCCTCAAATGTCCACAATGGCTAGAGCTGGGCCAATCTGAAGCCAGAAGCTTCTTCCGGGTCTCCCACACGGGTGCAGGGGCCCAAGGACTTGGGCCGTCCTCTACTGCTTTCCCAGGCCACAGCAGAGAGCTGCATCGGAAGTGGAGCAGCCAGGACTTGAACCAGCACTCATATGGGATGCCAGCACTGCAGGTGACAGCTTTACCTGCTACGCCACAGCACCAGCCCCCAGTATATATAGTTTTAAGAGTATAATGAAACTTCCCATCCTACCCTCCTTCCTTCACTCGCACCCTCTCTCCCCCTTCCTTTCTTGTTTTTTCTTTTTAATTTTTACAATTACATACTTTCAATATACTTTATAATCACAAGCATAACCTACCACTAAAGCAGTCAGTGAGTAGGAAATAGAGTACAGACAAGGGCTATAAGCAACCAAATCTCAAAATGTCAATTTCTCTCATATACATTACTTTAAAAAAAGATTGATGTATTTATTTGAAAGGCAGAGTTAAAAAGAGGGAGGGAGGGAGGGAGGGAACGAGGGAGGGAGAGAGAGAGAGAGAAAGTCTTCCTTCTGCTGGTTCACTCCCCAAATGTCCACAACAGCCTGAGCTGTGCCCATCTGAAGCCAAGAGCCAGGAACTTCTTCCGGGTCTTCCACGTGGGTGCAGGGGCCTAAGCACCTGGGCCATTTTCTACTGCTTTCCCAGGCCATAGCAGAGAGCTGGACCGGAAGTGCAGCAGCTGAGACTCAAACTGATGCCCATGTGAGATGCTGGCACTGCAGGCGGCAGCTTTACCCAGTATACATTACTTTTTTTGTACTCTGTGTATTAGCTACCACAAATTAGGGAAAACATATGATATTTACCTTTTTGGGACTGGCTCATTTCACTAAGCATAATGATCTCCAGTAGCACCCACTGTGTTGCAAAAGGCAGGATTTCATTTTTATGACTGAGTGGTACTCCATAGTGTATGTATACCACAATTTCTTTATCCATTCATCAGCTGATGGACGTCTGGGTTGATTCCATATCTTAGCTATTGTGAATTGAGCTGCAATAAGCATGGGTTAGCGATAACTGTTTCATATGCTGACTTCAGCTCCTTTGGGTAGATTGCCAGGAGTGGGGTGGCTGGGTCGTATGGTAGACCTGTTTTCAGATTTCTGAGGCATCTCCATCCTGTCTGCCCTAGTGCCTGTATGAGTTTGCGTTCCCACCAACAGTGGATTAGGGTACCTTTTCCCTCCACATCCTCGCCAGCATTTGTTATTTTTTGATTTTTGGATGACAGCCGTTCTAACTGGGCTGAGGCGATTGCGGTTGGCTCTATACTTTTAAAAGTGTTTTGCTACTGGCTGTCTCCAGGAGTCCTTTGGCGGACCTGATGTCCAGCGTGCTGTATGCCTGCTCACCGCCCAAGCCTAAGAAACCTTTAGAAAGCAGTGATGTTTAATAGAAGGAACCTGCTGGTCTCTAGGATACAACCCATGGACCATGGGCAGTTAACGCCCCTGGAGGGATCGGACCAGAACCTTTTAGGGCCGTTGTTTATCGAGCAGTGGGCGTGGACTCGATATTTATGTGCCATCACAGTCATGATCAGAATCAAAGCCACCCCTCCGTGGGCCCTGCTCTATATGCCAAGCATTGGACTAAATCCTGCAGACACAATATAAGATTCCCCAGACTCTACACCCACTTTACAGATGAAAAAAAAAAAAAAAAAAGAAGAAGTCCAGACAACTTAAGCTACTGGGCCAAAGTCTCCCAGCACGTGGAGGATACAGAATCTGAGCCCAGGTCCATCTGGCCAGGCCTGGGCTCTTTCCACAAATGAGCAAGTCCTTGTGAACAGGACCTTTCACTACTCCCTGTTTCTCCCACCAGGGGGCGTGATCGAGGCATTCCCGCCTGCAGACAGCGTCACCAACCTGACAGTGGACATGCTGATAGAGCCCGGCGGGGACGTGAGGGTGCTGTCCACCGGCGACCAGCTGCACGCCGAGAGCCCCTTCATCTCCTCGGGCACCAGCATGCCACAGGCCTCCGTGGATCCCCAAGTTCTCTGTTCTCTGTGCCTCCAAGTCGGAAATGCCTGTAAAATGAGAGATGTGGTTGGTTACTTTTCTATAGATCTGGTGACTTTCATTGACCCAAGCACCTTGGAGCAGCAGGTGAGTCTGATGTCCCATGAAATACTCAGATGCGTAAGGGCAGCGGCCAATGGGAGGGAGCGTCTGACATGCGCCGGGCTCTGGTGAGGGGGCTCTATAAACTCAGCATCACGCAGCCCCTGGCCGGCCTGTGCGAAGCCAGGCTTTGTGTCTGTGCAAATCAGGGGCCCGGGGTCGCCCCATTCAGCTGTAGTTGGAGTTGAAAGCACTGACCTTCATCCCGCAGCACACCGTCCACCTGTGCCCTGTGGAACCACCGTGTGCGGTCCGGGGAGCGACCCTGCCTACAGCCTTTTCCCGAGTAGATCAGTCACTAGGAAGGGGTTAAGAATCGTTACTTCTGTTCCCTTTCTTATCAGTACTTCTCTGGCAAGCTGGTTGTCCGTTATTTTCTGCTATAAAAAAAAATGGAATAGTGTTAGAAATATAAGGTCTAACTTATAGCACCCAGCTTAAGTAAGGCAGTGTCAACCCCCAGTGCTGTGTCCTCCTGGCCAAATGCAGGCACCCCCTTCCTTCCGGGGCAAGGAGGAAGCGGAGTCTTCGATTTGGGGTGTTGATTTCCTTCCGTGGCACCGCACTTCGCACACGGATGTACCTTGAGAAAATACATGGTTTCAGATCGCATAGAAGCGTCTTACTGATGGTATTGTTCTACATATTACTACCTATAGTGAGCTTTTATTTATTCAATCTCACATTGATGAGGTTCTTCGTGTGTGTATATGCACGGGTATGGCTCTGACATAGAATATTCCAGATAAACATTTGTAAACCTTTTTGCTTTGTTTCCTCTGCTCCCTCAACTTCGGATGCTTCAGTTCAGGGCTGCTCCATAGGGCTCCTTTTCAGCGCGTTCTGTTGCTCCAGATCTCCGTGACGCGGCCTCGTGGCCTGCCTCTCCCCGCAGCTTCTGGCCCTGGAGCCACTGTCGCTGTCCTCTGATAGTTTGTTAGTCATCGCTCTCGGTTTCTTGGGGCTCCCTTTCTGTCCGATGACGGTTTCGATGTCAGAGCTGAGGTCTGGGGCAGTTTCCAGCTTTTCATGGTTTGCCGTCTGCCTTTCCAGGCCCTCCCCTGGCTTCACATTCTGCTCTCGGGCCTGCACGCTCAGAGGGGAGAGGCCAGGCTGAAGGGCACTCAGAAAGTCCCCTGGATATGGCAGGTGTTGCGGGACAGTGGCTTAGCCGCCTTCTTGGGACACCTGCATCCCATATGGAAGTGCCAGGTTCAAGTCCCAGCACCTCTGCTTCTGATGCAGCTCCCTGCTCAGGCATCCCGGGAGACAGCAGAAGATGGCTCAAGTGCTTGGGGCCTCCTGGCTTCAGCCTGGCCTGGCCCCAGCTGCTGCGGGCATTTAGGGAGTGAACCAGTGCATGGAAAATCTCTTTCTCTCTCTATTATTCTGCCTTTCAAGTAGAGGAAAATCAATAAATAAAAGTAAATATTAAAAAATAAAATTGGTCATTGCTTACATAATAACAAAATAAGTAAAGACTGTCAGCCTTCTACATCTGTGAGTTCTGCGTCCATGAACTTGACCAAGCACAGGTGGTGAATATTCAGGAAAGAGAAGTTCCGTCTGTACTCTGTCCAGGCTTTGTTTCACTGTCATTATTCTGTAGCCATAGAGCTACATTGCCACGGCACTCACACTGTATTGGGTTTTAGGAGTAATCTAGAGATGGTTTAAATCCTAGGGAGGGTTACGTAGGTTCTACGCAATGCTGCGCTGTTTGATGCCAGGGGCCGGAGCGTCTGCAGATTCTGGTTTCTGTGGGGGATTCCAGAAGACAACAGGGAGAAGACCGAGGCTTGATCCCTGGTGTATGCCCTCGTCTGACCAATGCGTCTCTGATGTGGCCAGTCTCCCACTGTCGCCGGCTGTCTTGCCTGTCACATGTGCCCCGCTCCCACATGGTTGTTCATCTGTGGTGTGCTTCTTCCCATCGTGGCTTCAACCCTTCTATGGCTGTGAGACCCCGAGCTCTCCGCTGCCTTCTGCTTTCTTGGCTGCGTGATGAGCAGCTTAGCTTACTTGACTTCTGGGGCAACTTTCAGCCCCAAGCGTTATTTCTTTCAGTAACGTTTTCACAGTACTTATTTTCTGTACCAGCTAATTCAAAACGTAGTAATGATAGTCCCAGGGCTGGTGCTGTGGCACAGCAGGCCAAGCTGCTGCCTGCAATGCTGGCATCTCACATGAGTGTCAGTTCAAGTCTTGGCTGCTCTGCTTCCAGTCCAGCTCCCTGCAAATACACCTTGGAAAACAACAACAGAAGATGGCCCAAGTGCTTGGACCCCTGCCACCCATGTGGGAGACCCAGATGGAGTTCCAGGTTCTTGGCTTTGGCCATTTGGGGAGTGAACCAGTGGATGGAAAAATCGCTCTTTCTGTAACTCTGCCTTTCAAATAAGCAACTACATCTTTTAAAAAAATAATATATCATGTTTTAAAAGTTATTGTAAGAGACTGGCGCCGCGGCTCACTAGGCTAATCCTCTGCCTGTGGCGCTGGTACCCCGGGTTCTAGTTCCGGTTGGGGTGCCGGGTTCTGTCCCAGTTGCTCCTCTTCCAGTCCAGCTCTCTGCTGTGGCCTGGGAAGGAAGCTCCTGGCTTCTGCCTTTGGATAGACCCAAAGTAAACCAGTGGGTGGAAGAGATCTCTCTCTCTCTCTCTCTCTCTGGCCCCCCACCCTGCCTCTTTCCCTCTGTCTGTAACTCTGCCTCTCTCTCTGCAGAGAGAAAAAATGTCTTCCATCCAGTGGTTTACTCCCCAAATGGCCGCAATGGCTGGAGCTGTGTTGTTCTGAAGCCAGGAGCCTGGAGCTTCTTCCAGGTCTCCCACGTGGGTGCAGGGGCTCAAGGACTTGGGCCATCTTCTCCTGCTTTCCCAGGCCATAGCAGAGAGCTGGATCAGAAGTAGAACAGTTAATCCTTAAACGATGAGGAGAAAAGCCTATTTCCCAACCCCAGTGAGCCAGCGCCAGTGGTGGAAGGTACTGAGTGGGCTCTGGGAGGGGCACGAAGTCGCTGTCAGAGACTTTAGGTTGAGGAGGGAGGGACTGGCATGGCCAATGAGCAAATACTTCTGTAGGCCTATTCTGGCCATAGTTTAGGTGCTGAGGGAACAGAGATAAACAAAATCTACTTCCTATCATAGAAAACTACTTCCCATCCATCATTCAATTTCATGCCACACACACAATGTTCTTGTACTCTCACCGGTTCCTAGGCATAGTAAGTATTGCATACACGAGATTTTAAAATATATTTTTTAATTCTTACACATTCAAGAAACAGAGATAGAAAGAGAGAGAGCTCCCATCTGCTGAGTCATTCCCCAAATGCCCACATTTGCTAGAGTTGAGCCAGGCTGAAGCCAGGAGCCAGAAACTCAACCCAGGTCCCCCATGTGGGTGGCAGGGCCCCAGCCACCAGAGCCAGCACTGCTGCCTCCCCGGATCTGCTTTCGCAGGGAGCTGGAGCTGAGCATCAACCCCAGGCAGCTCCGACATGGGACGCAGGCGTCTCAGCCCCTCCGAGAGATTTTTAAATCCTCAAAAAAGGTACTGGCCCCTGCATTTTTTTTAACCTCTTTGGGATAACTAACACTGTGATGGCCGCATTAGGCCAGCCACTGAATAACTGATTATTCCCCGAGTGCTGGGCTTTCAGAACTCCTGGAACATCCGACTCTGCTGAGCTGCCTTATTCTCTTTCTGGAAGCTCTGAACAAAGCAGGTGTTTGCTGAGTATCTGTTACGTGCAGACCACCCTACGAGGGGCCAGAGAAGCTGCAGAGACACAGATCTGGAAATGCCTGCCCTCGGAGGCTTCCCAGTCTAGTTGGGGAAGCATTGCAAGGAAAAGCTTAAGTGGCGGCTACATAGAACAATACAAGAAATATGAAAACGGTCATGGCAGGCTGGCAGCCAAATGACTTGCTCTGTGAATTCAGACGCGAGCATCCCTTCCATTGGGAGTGCTCAAGAAAGGTGTTTGCAGAGCAGGTGGGACGTGGCCTGGAAGACTGGGATTCGGAGGAGGCTCAAGAGAAGTCGGTCCCAGTGGGAGAGACTGCGAAAGGTGGGGGTGGAAAGCACAGGGCGCGCGTGGGGAAGGTGACCACCGCATCTTCCGCGCATGCTCGTCGCCCTGCCTCCATAAACAGGCACTTCTAGGATGGTCCCGAGTCCTTTCCTTCCTCAAGGTCTCTCGGCAAGCAGGTTGCAAAGATGCTTTTTGCTGGCACTCCTAGATGAGAGCGCCCTTGTTTTCAGATGGTTGTGAACTGTGGAGACCAGGCTGTCTGTTAGCAGCACTGACAGACACCGCTTCTTTAAAAACGAAGGAATGGGGCCGGCGCTGTGGCATAGGGGTGAAGCCGCCGCCTGCAGTGCCTGCATCCGATGTGAGTTCGAGTCCCGGCTGCTCCACTTCCGATCTGGTGGAGACCCAGAAGAAGCTGCTGGCTCTTGGCTTCCGGATCAGCTCAGCTCCAGCTGTCACGGCCATTTGGGGAGTGAAGAGTGGATGGAAGATTCTCTCTCTCTCTCTCTCTCTCTCTCTCCCTCTCTCCCTTTCTCCCTCTCTCCCTCTGCTTTTCCCTTTCTTTCTATAACTGTGCCTTTCAAATAAATAAATCTGTTTTTAAAGCTTGGAGACTCTGATGTTTATCAGAGTGTATCCTATACATTCCAAAAACTATTTCTAAGAGTTTCTGAACAGAGAACAGTAGCGTAGAATAGAAAAAAAAGACCTAGATTGATATAAAAATGCTTCCATTGCGATGGTAATGGGCTCTGGCCCTGTCTGCCCACTGATCAGTGAGACACCTCGTACACACTTGGCCTCCCTCAGCCTTTTCTTGTTTGGTTTCTTCCCTTAGCAGGTAGTGACTGCCTCTGTCTTCCTCACAGGCTGTTCTGAGAGGCTGAGCAGACAGAAGGTGCTGTTCGTATTAAATCAAGCGGCATAACCACATGTGAAACTGTCACAG